TTCTTATTTTATTTATTTAAATATTAAAAATATAGAAAATTTCTAAAAAAATAAAAAAATTTATAAAAATTCTAAAAAGTTAAAAAAACTAAATATTTTGATTAAGTAAAATGTTAAAATTTGAAAATATAAAAAATTCAAAAAATGATTTTATTTAAAAAATAAAAATATTGAAAAAAGTAAATTTGATATTTTAAAAAAATTAAAAAATTCTAAAAAATTCAAAATATTGAAAATTTCTAGAAAATTTCTAAATGTTAAAAATTAAAAATACAAACTTTCAAGAAATGAAATAAAAAAATTAAAATATTTAAAAAAAGGAAATTTAATATTTTTAAAAAACTATAAATTTTCTAAAAAAATTCAAAATATTTATATATTAGTTGAATTAAATTTCAAATTTTGTGCAAATATATGGATTAAATTTTAAATTTCCTATGAGTAAAAGGATCATTTATATAATTTAACAATTGATTTCATTAATTTAAGTTACTATGTCAACAAGTCAATTTTCACATCATTAAGTTAATGACCACGTCAGTATTTTTAATGACAAAAAATTGATAGAGTTAGTGATTCTAAAATTATCATTTAAAATAGAGTAATTACTAGATTTGCTCATGGGTCGGGCTGGGTCGAGCCAGGTTTGAGCTAGACTTGACATGATATTATAGTATTTTAAGTAAGTTTAGGCTCTGCTTAACTTAATTTTTTAGATCTCATTTTCTACCCAACCCCGTTCCTACGTGTAATAATAAAATCCAAACTCGCTTAAAATACTGATATTTAAAATTGAGAAAAAAGTTTTTTAAAAATTTTTTTGTAACTTATTAATTTAACTAATTTAATTAATTTTAATTAAATTTATAAGTTATTTGGACTTAGGTCCAATTTAATTTTATTGAATGTAATTTAAAATTAGATTATTGTTTTGTATAAAGAAAAAATGGACTTTATTATATTATAAGTAATAAAGTAAATCAGTTTTGTCCGTTATAAAAAATGAAGTAAATATGTTTTGTCCTATTATGATAACAATTATTTTTTAATTTTTAGGCCTGGCGAGGGTTGAGCTTTAAATGGTGAAACTCAAGTCTGACCCTAATTTTTTTGCTCGAGCCTCATTTATTTATTTAGACTCATTTAACGAGTTTAATATTCATATCCAAACTCTTCAAAATTGTTGGTGGATTTTTAGGTTCAGATGGGCCATTCGCCTATAAGCAGGTCTAATAATAATTAAATTTATATAAATTACAGTATAGAAATGAAATTTCAAATTTTTGCAAAATATAAAGAGTTCTAACATAATTTGACATTTTTTCTTTCTTGACTGCTCAAGGACAACTACAACAGGCAGCCCTATGGCTGATTTTGTTGTGGGCTGTTTGGCTCCAACCTTTCCTTCATTTTCTTGTATTTCTTTCATATTTAGACTCTTTTTAATTGCCTTTCATTTACATTTCCTTGTTAAGCCTTTAATTTTAAAAATTTAAGCCTTGTTTCTCTTTACATTTCAATGCATTTTCAATTTCTATTTGTTTATTTTCTGTTCTGTTTTTCCTTCAATTTGTTGCTATTTTTAATTTGTTTTGAGCTTGTTCTTAGCTTGAGGATGAAAGCCTAAGGAGGCCTTAAGCATGAGAAATCATTAAGGGTCCTAAAGTGGCTTGACTCTACCTTGGTTCATTTAATTTCAGTTTTTATTTACTGTTTCAAATAAATTTTTTTCAATGTTACGTTCGGTTTTGGGAAGTTTGCCTATGCATATTTTGTTTGTTTTAGATGTCTATTTTAAAGTTATTCTCTTAGATTTAATATATCTTTCATTTTCTTTAAGTTTGGTTAATATTTAAGCAACTATGTCCTTGTTATTTTGCATTTTCTTGTTGTGTTTTTGAAGTCTGTTTGATGCCTTTTCTGTCCGGTTTTTGAGGTTCATTTCGTAAGGATTATTTGTTGCATTTTAGGTCTATTTTGAGTTCATGATGTTGGTTTTAATGTTTCCTTGCATCTCATTTAAATCTTCCTAGCATATTAGCACTTAGGTCCATTTTAGTACTTTTTTTTTTTTTTTTCTTAATTTGCTACTGTTCCGTTCTGTTCTAGGCAGTTTTCTAGCCTTTTAATTTGCACTTTTAGGTTCTTATTTAAGCTTTGTTAATGTCATTTGATGCTATATAGCTTAGGTTACCTGTTTTAGTTGTTTACATTTTAGTGCTCTACGTGTTTGATGAAATGTTTGCATGATAGTACTACTTTCTTATTTGGTTTTTGTCTGCTGTTTAGGTCAATTTTCAATTCTGTTTTTAAGTTTTATAATGCTGCATTTTAAGTCTTTTTCATACCTTGATCATGTTCATTTAGTATCATGTATGTTAGGTTAGGTTTCATGTTCATTTGACATTTAGGTAATGATCACTAAGTGTTCGTTCTTTTGCTTTTGTAGATTTTACTAGGCTTTAGGGGCTGTTATTCTTGTTGTCCGGGTTCTATTTTCAGTCCTTGTTACTTCCTTTAGTTTCATTTTCATGCCTTTAATTTGCCTTGCAATTTAAATCTTCATGTCTTTCAATTGCTTCTTGTTCAATGTTAATTTCGTTAGTTGCATGTTAGTTAATTTTGGTATTTTTACTTGCATTTTGTTTTCTTCATTTTCTTGAATTTCGTCATGAATTTTAATACAATTCGGTTAATACTAGTTAGGATCAATCTAGGTTAATTTCCTAGCATCTTTTACATTATGTCTATGCATCTTGCCTTATATCATTTAGGTTTTAGTTGCATTGTAAATTTTTTGTGTTGTTAATTTCCTTTCCACTTAATTTGATTTTTCATGCATTTTAATTTGTCACCTTTTACTTGCATGTTTTAGAGTTAGATGTTAATTTAGAGCCTTGCCCTATAGGATTAAAACTTTCCTTTTATAGTAATTTTTTATTTTTAGTAACTTTCCATTTCTAGTAAGTTTTATATTTAATTTGTTAATTTTCATAATTTGTTAGTAATTTAGTTTAATTATTTGATTTATTTTAATGTACGATTAATTTACTAATTTCATCATTTTTTTTTTTAGAATCGAATATAATCTAAGTGTCCAATTTTGATATTTAATCTTAGATTAATCTAAAATTTCAATTCATTTGAAAACAATAATTAGATATTTATTATTTATATTACTTGAGCGATTCTTACATTAACGGTGGTTAACATCAGGCACCATGCAATTACTGTTTGTCAATGGACAATAAACATAATTTTTCTTATCTCAAACCAAAATTAATTTATAAAAATATAATTTTAAGGTGCAAAATTTTATGCTTACATTAGATTTTTTTTACTTTGAAGAACCATCTCCGTCTGATTTGTGGAAGCAAAAGGATTTGATGGCACAGTGAGACTGTCTGCCTCACCTTCCAACATTTGAATCACAGCTTTCATTGGAGGACGATCTACTGGATACCATTGAATGCACCAAAGTCCAACAATTGTAAGTTTTCTTGCTATCTGGGAATGACTTTCATCTTCAATTCTCATTGCTAACTCTTCTCCTTTGTCCAAATGATTATAAACCCTTCTGGGAAGTACACCTGGCTTGTATTATCCACTGTAAGATCAATGTTTTTTCTGCCTCCAACCATTTCGAGAAATAGCATTCCGAAACTATAAACATCTGACTTATACGAAACATTTCCAAAGTTCCTAGATAATACCTCGGGTGCTATATGGCCCATTGTTCCTCTTGCTGCTGTCATGGAAATAGCACTTTGCTCCTTGGAACACAACTTAGCCAGACCAAAGTCAGAGATCTTGGGGTTGAAGTTGTGGTCTAACAAAATATTGTGAGGTTTAATGTCAAAATGGAGGATCCGTTGCTCGCAACCTTGATGCAGGTATTCAATCCTTTGGCGATGCCTAGAGCTATATCTTGAAGCTTATTCCAAACAAGGACATGATTGTTGCCTTTGCTGGTGGCAAATATGAACTTCTCCAATGACTCATTCGGCAAATACTCATAAACAAGTGCTCGTTTATAGCCATCAGCGCAAAATCCAACTAAGCGAGCTACATTGACATGGTGGATTCTACTCATTGAGCCCACTTCGTTGATGAATTCTTCTCCATTTCCTTTGAAATTGTTGAGGACCTTAACCGCTACCAAAACATCATTGGAAAGTCTTCCTTTGAACACTGTTCCATAACCTCCTTGTCCAAGTTTGTCGTTGAATTGATTTGTTATCCTCTTATTATCAGCATAAGAGTATCTTGAGGGCTTAAGAGATCTATAATCTTCCAAAAATCTTTCAATCTTCAGTTGGCTTTGTTTCTTTCTTTTGACCGAATGGTACTCATAGCAAAGTCCAATGACAGTTAGTACAATAAGGAAGGAAGCTAGGATTACACCTGCAAATAAAATATTCCAACTTAGTATGTTTCCTCATTTCTTCCTAATAACAACTTAAATAGAGAGAAACGTTGCATACCTGCAATTGTTTCGCTTGTAGGAATACCTGTGAGACATTGGAAATTATCACCTAGTTCTGGTTCTAAATATATTAATAAATATAAATGAATTCGAAATTTAATTTAGTTGATTTATGTAATTATCTTTAAGAGATAACGTTCAATAAATTTAAAGTTCAAATTTTAACATGTATAATCTGATCTCTTATCTTTAGATTATAATCTTTTTTACTAAAAAAAAAAAAAAAAGTGTTTTTTAGTGAACTCTTTTTAACTCAGTCAACCTTGTCAAATTATTATTATTATTATTATTTTAAGAAAAGCCTTGTCGGAATTATTGGTTTAACATTAAATCCTACTAAATATCTTAGAGTTAAGTTTAAATATAATTAAATATGTAATTATATGTAAAGCAGCTTGCAGATAAAAAAAGAATTAACTGTAACATAATTCTAAGTACCACTAAAAAATGCGTGCATATCCTTACATTTTATTTATTATTTCTTACTCCCTATCAAATGGTGAAGCAAACATCCGCAAAATTGTTGCCGAAGCATAACTCTAAAGTCAATAGGTGCTAGTTTGGGTGGGGATTTGAAAAAAATTCGTATCAAAATTCAGTTTTTTGTTAATTTTAACTGATTTTATTTTATGGCGTCTACTTTATTTTTTAACAATTTCTTCACAACTAAATTGTAAAAGTAAATAACTGAAAACAATAAGTAACTTAATAAATTGATTTTAACTACTTGCATAACAAGTATTGAACTTGATGCCCTCATTTCGCTCTTCCGATCCCGCTAATCAACTCTAACATGTTAAGGACAAAACTCGCAATATACGGCCTCGTTGCCCTTGCTGCTTTCTCTCAGGTTCTTGATGCTGTTAGTGGTGCAAGACAAGTCAGTACTGCAGGCTGCAAGCCCTCTTCGTGTGGAGCTTTAACCGATATCAGTAGACCTGTCAGATTAAAAGGCGACCCTCCCGAGTGTGGCGACCTTGACCATGAACTGGCTTGTGAAAACGATCAAGCCATTGCCCAAAATGACGAGTATAGGAGTTTCTATGTCCAAGATATCTTTTATGATCACTCTGAAATTCGATTGGTGGATGGGAGTCTGGACAGTCATAAATGCTCCATTCTTCCCAAATCCCTTGTAAGTGAACACCAAAGCGATTTTATCTATTTTCTAAGTTGCCAATTACCCATGAACTCTTCGCTTTACGTCGATGCCTCTCCTTGCGCCAACGCCTCATTCTCTCCGCACCCTTACTTTTATGCTTTGTTTAGCGGAGAGACGCTGAACGCCACTGGTTTTCATGAATCTTGCACCGTGGAAGTTCAGGTTCCGCGACCCGTTCGGTTGCGGTCTTCTAATGTCACCGGTCTGGGTCTGTCTATATTCGATGTTCACCAGGAGCTTCTGATGGGTTATGACGTGCCCTGGGATTGCGCAAACTCGTATCTTTCCCGCAACAAAATATCTCTTCGAAAGATGTAAGAATTACGAGCAATAACCGAAACCCCACTTCGATTTCTTTTTTCTTTTATTTTAAACTTAAAAATGATTAGACAATATAATTTAAAAAATCAATTTTACATTATTTTCTGTTATATATATATTTTCTTGTTCTCACATAAATCTTCCATTCCTGACGTAGATTATGGCGGTTGAAGTTCATCTTCGAAAATTATTTAAATAGTTTTCGAATATTTTTCTCCCACGGCATTCCATCGAGAGATACTACTTCATTTTATTATGCTTCTAGTAAGCTTTTCAGAGTTCTATTTGTAATTTTCTTGTGGCCTTTGCTTATTCCTTATTCCCTGCTTTAAAATAATGTTGTTTACCCATTTTCAATTAACAGGAAACCAGGTTGCTTTCCTTATCATCACAGGTGGGAATCAGTTTTATCAGTAGTTATTTGAGGTTTAAACATTAATACGTGCATGATAACCTAATAAGCTGTCTATTTATATATTATACTAATGTCTTCCTATTAATATTTCTCTTGTACAGGAGTAGTTATTATTATTAGAACTCTATTGGGGGTTTCATGCTTGACTGCAGCTGTACTATATAAGTTTCGAAGGAGACACTTGTCCATGGATGATACAATTGAAGAATTTCTTCAAATGCAAAAAAATTTAATGCCTATCAGGTATTCTTGCTCAGAGATAAAAAGAATGACGATGGTTTTAAAAATAAATTAGGACAAGGTGGTTTTGGTTCAGTATTCAAAGGAAAGCTTCGAAGTAGTCGACTTGTTGCAATAAAATTGTTAGGAGCGTCGAAATCTCAAGGGCAAGATTTCATCAATGAAGTTGCTACCATTGGGAGAATTCATCATGTTAACGTGGTACAACTTATTGGCTTTTGTGTGGAAGGATCAAAACAAGCTCTTGTTTATGATTTTATGCCTAATGGTTCTCTAGATAAAATCATATTTTCAGGAGAAAAGAACATCACTTTAAGTCGGGAAAAGTATTTGAGATTGCAATTGGGGTGGCACGAGGAATAGAATATTTGCATCAAGGATGTGATATGCAAATTCTACATTTTGACCTCAAACCACAATCTTCTTGATGAAAACTTCACTCCAAAAATTTCAGATTTTGGTCTTGCAAAATTATATGCAGTAGATGATAGTATTGTATCTCTCACTGCAGCACGAGGTACTCTCGGATACATTGCTCCAGAACTGTTTTACAAGACCATTGGGAGTATCTCACAAACGGCTGATGTTTACAGCTTTGGAATGTTATTAATGGAAATGGTGGGAAAGAGAAGGAATTTGAATGCATGTGCTCAACAATCTAGTCAAATATATTTTCCTTCCTGGATTTACGATCAATTTGAAAAAGGGAAAGATATAGAGTTAGGAGTTGCATCTGAGAGTGAAAAGAAAATCCTAAAGAAGATGATCATAGTTGCTTTTTGGTGCATACAGATAAAGCCAATCGATCGCCCTTCAATAAGTAAGGTCTTGGAGATGCTTGAAGGTGAGGCTGAGCTCCTCGAAACGCCTCCGAAACCATTTCTATTATCTATTGAAAGGTCGTAGGAGGATTTTGATAACAAGTCCACTACAACGTCAAACCTCGATGCTAACGCCAAGAGCGAAGAAATGCCTCAAATGTAAACATGCTACCGCCAAGAGCATAGAAATGCATGCTTCTAATGCAAATAATGAGAGATGTGGAAACCATTATGTTATGCTCCCTTTAAGTACCATCCTAATGGAGGGTTTGATTTCCTTGTGTTACTATTTTGTTTATTCCTTTTTAATATATATATATATATATATATATATTTATTGCAAAGGAGGCTAGTGCCCTTACAAGGGGGAGTATATTTTTAATCATCATTTGCATATATACAATTCGATCACAAAATTTGAAACTCACGATTAAATACTTATTGGAAGACAATGGACACAGAATGATGAAGGGATCGCCACAGAAATAAAAGAAAGCAATTTTTGTTGTTGGGAAATAAGCTTGAGATAACCAACGCAGCTAAAACAGGGGAATGGAAAGAAGCAGAGTACATGGTTCATAGTTCAGATAGATTTTAACTTGAGGTAGTTGTAAGCTAGTAGTTCGATTGAATTCCAATAAAATATAGTATAAATTTTGGATGAAAATGGGTCTCATTTTCTTTGATTTGTCCTTGATGTAACGGTATTTTTTGGGTACAAACGAGAGAACAAATATTTTGAAGTTAAATTTCTATCCAAACTCCATTTTTATTCATGTAACGTTATTATTATTATTCTTGTGATTTAGGTTAATGAGTTTGTTCTGTAAATTTTTTTCCCTTTAGTTTTAATCTGAGTTCTATCTTCATCATCTTTTAGCTTTATTGTAATCAAATTCAAGGAAGTCATAGAATGGCAAAGAAAAACTTCAATCGTTTATGGTGCGTTTAGTTAATGAAAATTCTTTTCCCAACTTTAAATCAATTTAAGTTTTAACAATTAGGACTAAATCGGGCTAGGCCTTTTATGCCAGAACCCAGCCCAACCCTCATTTTTGCCCTCTCTCACTTTTCTCTGTAGATTTCATCTTCCTTCCTTCCTTCAGCACCCGTCCCCACAGAAAGAGCCAGTCAGCCAGCAACCATGGACTTGGAATCGAACTTCGAAATCAGCCGCACATCAGAATTCATTCTAAGCAGGAACTTCACCAGAGTTGCTTTGCAGGTAAAGAAATATATATATATATATATTTCTTAATATTTGTTGTAGCTTTTGCTTTCTTTTTTTCTTTATTTGTTTTTTTCTGTTGAATGAACAATTTGTCTTTGGTTCCAGTTCCCAGATGACTTGTTGAAACATTCAACAAAGGTGGTTAATTCTCTAAGAAACAAGCTTGGGTCAGCTAATAAAGTCGGGTTATTTGTAATGGCAGACACAACATTTGGAAGTTGTTGTGTTGATGAAGTGGGAGCTTCCCATATCAATGCTGATTGCGTTATACATTATGGACATACCTGTCTCAGCCCGTAAGTACTCTTTTTTCTTTTATCCCATATCTTTGTCTTTATAGGAAGCTTAGATGTAGTTTTATCAATTCTGGATCTTTATTGTTGATTTGAATTTTCAACTAGTTATGTCGGAACGGGGCTTCTTTTTCCTCTGATTTGTTATGCTTAAGAAATTTTTGGTTTTTGCATTATCCTTGTTAGAGCTTAAATGTAAAAGTTGGTAGAATAATTGGGGTCATGCAACTTTTATTTTGGCACGTGGTATCAGACCAGGGGTCTTGTGTTTCAATCTCGAAATATTATATCTTATTAGTTAATTTCTTCATTTACTGTCTTCCATTGAGCTTTACTTGCGATTTTCTTTAATCTTTCTTTAGCTTGCACCTTTCTTAGTCGCTTGGGTTCAAATGCAAAACCCTTTAATCATTCATCTAGCTTACATGTGAGGGATGTATTATAATTTAAGTATAAAGGGTGGATCATGTGAACATGTTCTACTATAATCATCATCCAACTCTCTCTTCGACAATCCTATCTCTCTTAGTTATGTTATTAAAATACAAGGTCTGATGTGATTTTTAATCCTAACTTATAGCATTGAAATTCTTGTATATCATCATTTATATTATGATTACGGAGTTCTGCACCAACTACTAACTTCCTAATGACAATCCTCCTCTCTCTGGACTTAGGAAATACCCGTAATGTTTATGTAATGAGTTTTAATAGTTTAGAGTTGGGAAAATGATATTTAAATCATTGGTGATAAAGATCTTTGATGACACGGTGAAATGAAACTTTAGACTTTTTCCAAGGAGAAGCTGAAGGTGACTGATGAGTATTGAAATCATAAGTCTTGTGAAAGTTTTTAGTTTTGAAGAGGTTTTGGAATTCCAAACTCAAGAATATGAGTCTAATAAGATTTCCTTCTTAATACATGTTTGAAGGAACATTGGAGGAGCTTAAATTACCTTGACCTTTTAGTTTCTGCTCATTAGGAAATGGCTAAGCGTCAGGGTAAAGTTCACCTGCATCCCTTGTGGTTGCAACTTTTCCCATAGAGGAGGTTACACTACTCATTTCACCCAATAAAATTACCAAAATACCTGCAATTCAAAAGTTCTTATTTCTTAACACTTAAGGGTATTTTCATAATTTTGTCATGTAAAACTAACAGTATAACTCCCTATGGGAATGGAACTTATCCACAGGGTGCTAATTGAGGAAAAAAATTCAAAGGGTGCTATGTGTTAAAACCATCGGGGATGCAGGTGGAGTTTAACCTAAGTGTTAAGACCAGTGAGATTTTTTATGTTGCTTGAAGATTAGTTATAAGCTAAGGGTGTTAGTGATTGCTGCTAGAGTTAGTTGTTATTGTAGTTATTTTGAGATTGTCCGATCGGAGTTTCCTGCGTGCTGTACGGTTGGTTTGTGACATAAAGCAGCTTTGAGTTGAGTGCCATTACTTTTCTAAACTGTAAATCGAGTGTCTATGGCTCACGTGGCACTGGCCGTAAGATAAAGATCGTCAAATGGCGTCATAAAAGATAGTTAGACCTGACCCCATGACATGAAAGAAGGTCGGGACCCTTTCTTGCTTGCATTGAATGAGACCAATCCCTTGGTGAAGGGGGCGTAAGCGGAGTGAAGTCAACAGATTGAATCGTCTTCTCTCGAATCGTCTTTGGATGTACGAGTCTCATAGCCCCTTGACCTCTTCTCTCAAAGAAGGCGCTGTGTGGGCAAGTCGATCAGAGTCAGAGCGGGGGGGGAATGTTTACAGTTGTTGTAGTACGACTTTTCATTTCCTGTTCGGTCTTTCAAAAAGTAGTCAGCTGCGGGATAAGAAGCCTTTTAGTCATACTTAACTTAACATTGATTGAAGCAACTGTTGGAGAGAAGGCTCCAGTCAGACCTGCAAGCACCGGATAGTACGCAGCGGCAGTTTTCAATCATACAATGTGTACTCGTAGTCTGACTTTTAGTGAAAGACTGTCGGGCGAGGGCTTGTTCTTACTGAGCGAGCGAGTTGGCTAGCATTCCTAACAAGCCTTCCGGCGATCGAAGTCAGTTTCACTCCTTTTTTCTTGATCCTTCTTCACTGCTTTCCCTAATCATTTTCTCACTGCTTGGGGCTCCTTGAGTGGTGAATGTGTCTGCGTCTTTCTTCGGTGAGCGCAGTCTCTGATGATTTCTCTTTCCCTTGAGGATTTGAAGTGTAATAAGTGGGTGGTGTCAGGGCCCTTTCCTTTTACTTTAGCCTTTTAAACTCATGCTGCAGAAAGTGCGGATTTCTCTTTCTTCTTTCTTTCTCCGCCGCTTCTTTATGTTGTCTTTGTCTTGCAGGAGCGATGTCAAACCATTTTCTTCTTCCTTGAGTATAAGAGCTCGGCGAAAGTACTTATTTTCTTTTTTTGTTGAAGAAGTGAGAATCGGCCTAAGGGCATCAGATCGAGTGAATCGGGGATAGTCCCATTTCCTTTTTTCTTCGGATTCCCGTATCGAGTCCTTGAGTTCTTTCTGTCGATGGAGTCAATGCGAGAAGTAGGACCCTTTCGGTAGCCTCAACGTGAGGTGCAATGCCTTTGTCTTTCCTGCTTTTTAACAACTCTCACGCGTCAAGGGCTTATTTTCATTTCTCTTGCTTGACGAGCGAAGTGCACCATTAGTTATGGGTCACTTCCGTCGGTCTATCATTCGAAGTCTTCGCTGTCTGTGATGGGGTTGCAGGTCTGATCTTTTCTCTTCTTTCAGAAGCTAGGATTGGAAGGCCTTTCCTAATTTGTAGAAATTCCTCTCTGTTTTCAAGTTATCCTTTGTATTGAGTGAAGTGACTACTCGCCTATGCTTTCTTTGTGGGTGCATCCCTTGCGAAATTCCCCTAGTCTCGGTCTTTTTCTCCTTTTAGTGTGTTCGTGTAATGGGATAAGAAGATTAGTCTTTCTCCTCTGCTACCAGGGAGATTAGACCTGAGGGACTAGACTTTGAAGCTCGTAAGGGGGCATTTCTGGGTCATAAAGTGGTTTATACCTTTGTCTCAAAAGGAGGCTTTGACCATTAAGAAATGGACACAATGTTTAAGTTATTTGATGCTCTTTTGACTGTCAAGGCACTTGCCTGGTAGAGAGTTCGAGAACAATCTCGGATGATCAAGTCTTATCGGGTACTCCACAGATTGAGGAAGAAAGTCTTCTTAATGGGCAAACATGGTACTCTTCTTTTTAAGAAATCGATGCCTTTCTGTAGCAACAGTGTCCACTCTTTTCTATCTTCTTTGTCTGAAACTCGAAAGAATGGATTTCTTTTCTTTTAGAACCTACTTTCGAAAATGGGGTTCTTTCTTGGGAGTCGAGTCCTGTTGAGTAGGGGCTTAAGCTGTGAAGGATGGCTCCTTTTGGTTTTGATTCTATCCGCTTTCGGGATCTTTGACGGAACGATAATGAATATGATGGGAGGAAACAAGACAATTAACCAAGGGCCGCACAGGGGTGATGCCGGCCCCTTTGAAATACAATATTATGAATCAGACTCTTTTATTGCACATGCTTCCCGCAAGGGATATTCAGACAAGGAAAACTTCTTTACTCCACGGCAATCCATCTCATCCGCGTCGTCTTCTTCCACCTCTACTCCCGAAAGTTCTCCCAACAACAGACAGAATGAAGAGTGAGACTCTTTTACTTATATCAAACCTGGAAGTGAAGAACATGAGGTTCTGAAAGAAAGAAAGTGTTATTCGCATTGCAAGGGGAAAGCTCGAAGAATGGGAGGCCCATGGGAAAATGGATGGTTTGATCAGTAAGAAAACAAATAAGGAACTGTCCCACGCTTTAAACATGTAATTTGTCCAAAAGAAATGGACTATTTAATAAAAAAAATACTAGAGCTCGACTGTAAAAAGTTAAATAAAGTCCCAACGGAGGCCTCATATGCCTGCTTTTCGGACCTAGTTGGAGAGCACCGGCGAAAAACGGGATTGGAATAACGGCCTTTTTTATCTCATCCGTATTCCGATTGAAGAATGATTTTCATAAAGTAAGCACCTCTTTCTTTCCAGCCTTACTCAAATAGGGAGTGGAGCGCAGTTCTTAAACAGAAGAATGGTGATAAAGAGGAAGTGATTAAATTCAAGCAAAAAGAGTCGAATTGGAAGTCAAGTAAGAAGGAAGAAGGCTAGTCCCCGAAAATGCTCGTTCCTTTGTCGTTGGGGCAACCAATTCACCTTGTGACTCATTCCTTCGATCGAGCGTTCTCCGGACGTCGATCAATCTATCACTCCATCACAGGCCGCTCTGTCATTGTCTGATTTTTGGTTGTCTGATCACACTCGAAATTATGTATCTACTTATCGTATTTTTGCCCCTGCTCGGTAGTGGAGTAGCAGGTTTTTTCGGACGTTTTCTAGGATCAGAAGGAACCGCTATAATGACCACTACGTGCGTTTCATTCTCTTCGATCTTATCTTTGATTGCTTTTTATGAAGTCGCACCGGGAGCTAGTGCTTGCTATCTAAGAATTGCTCCATGGATCTCATCGGAAATGTTTGATGCTTCTTGGGGCTTCTTTGGCGACCGTGAAGTCACCGGATGAATTGCCGAGTAGATAGATCAGATCCGGACGCGACTATTGTGTTCATACTTTCCAGTCCCGAATAGGCCCAGTGGGAAGTTCAAGGTGAAGGCTTGCCTTAATAGATAGGAATGGGAGCTGCTCTCCTAAAGATGCGGAGAATACGAAAGCAAGGATAGCCGACCGTCATGCTTTGAGAGCTCCAAAGGCGTCAGAGAGCTCGAGCAAGTTAGGAGACGTCGAAAGAGAACTAAAAGCTTTCCTCAAAGATTCCATTCTCCTACTGCTACAAAGAGAGTTTCATAGTCTCGATCTTATACCCGGAATAAGCCTCTCTGGTCGTCTTGGGTTAAGAGGAAATTTCTTTGTCGGAATTCTCTGTGGCAAGTGGACAAGCCTAAAGACTCTGATTCGGTCTTGGTATATGATCCGAATAATATATGATGTAATGGATGCAATTCGCTATCAAATTGGAGACGGAACCTCGGTCAGTTTTTGGCATCATCCTTGGCTTACAAATGGCCCCTTATCCCTATAGTTGTCTACAATGTAAGGTCTATCTCTCATATTCCAGAAGCTGCTCGCCTTTCGGACCTTCTTGGTAAGAAGAGGCGGATTCCTCCTAAAGTAATCAAAGAATTTCTGGAGGACATATGGTAAGTGATTAGGGCATTGGAAATTATCCCAGTACCTTTGCAACAGGGTGGTATGAACCTTATATACTGAAGGATAAGACCTATCCTAACAGCTCCTAATTTGAAAAGGACTAACAGACCTTCTTTCGAAACCACAGATTTGTATAACTCAAAATACAGGTTTTTGAATTCTCGTAGATGAAGATCAAACTAAACACACCTGGTCGACCATTGAGACTTTGCATTCTTGCACAGGCGGTGGGATTGCTTAAGGGAGGGGGCATTTGCTTGCTCTTCGTGATGGCGGAAAGGAAGGACTCGTACTACAGCTGAAGTCCTGCTAGAGCATAAAGAAACATACCTTTGTACGAAAGTAGAGCCGACAATTGATATACAACATTTTGATGCTTCGATGATAGATGAGACTAGGATGCCTTAAGGTTTTGGAAAGAAGGAAACGAAATTCACTATAAAGCACAGACAGCCTTGAAAGAAGTTTCTGGAGGAGGCTACCACTAAATGAGATCTTGATAATGTGTTTGGAATGAAGGGCTCTTCAAACTGCCTGTGGAAAACAAAAAGCTAAGACTTTATCAATTGAGTTGGAGTAGGAGTAGGCAGACAAAGACTAATAGATAAGAATCCGGGGGCAGGAGGGAAAAGTAGAAGCACAAGGAAGCAGAGGAAAGAAGGCCCGCCAGAAGGGGGGGGGGGTCCCCAACCCCGGAACGATGTATGAAAGAGACTTGCGAAAGCTATTGAAGTGGACAAGAGAGTGCTGCTTCTTATGACAAAGCCCTTGCTGCAGTGTGAAAGAGTGGCGGGGAATGGCTGGACCCAGGAGTCAAGTCAACATAGTGTGGAAAGTGTTAAGACCAGTGGGATTTTTTATGTTGCTTGAAGATTAGTTATAAGCTAAGGGAGTTAGTGATTGCTGCAAGAGTTAGTTGTTATTGTAGTTATCATACATTTTTTGAGATTGTCCGATAGGTTTTTGAACTTAGTTTACATCTCTTGGTTTCTATGTGTTGTGGTTTTCTCCTGTAGTGGTTCAATTTGAAATTTTTTGACTTTGGAAATGGTTCAATTTTTTTTGCTTCTGCAGATTTGGTTCTCTACTTCATATGTTTTCCTATGAAAGACTAATTTTTGTTGCAGGACCTCAACTCTTCCTGCATTCTGTGTTTTTGGAAAAGCTTCAATCTGCATATCCCGTTGTGTTGAGAAGTTATCAAGTTACTTTTGGACCAATGGCAAACCTATTGTGGTATGATAAGTAATCTAGAATTTCTTCCTTCTCACTTTTAAGCTATTTTACATTGTGATAAAAAAAGATGTAACAGATAACAATTTTCCTGATGTGTGTTCTTATTTTTGTTAAACTTAATCATTTTTCTCGCTTCTGTATTTTGTTTATATGTAGCTCATGTAGTTTCTTATGTAGTTAGGAAGATTACTAAAATGCTAGTTTCAGTTGAGGATACGAGATATATTCTTGGAGTTATGTTTTGGCTTTCCTTTATATTCTTGGAGTTATGTGTAGGCTTTCCTATACACCTTGGGCTCTCTCTCTTTGGAAAAAGGATATAAAATGAGAAAAAGATAAGATAAAATAAGGAATGAGTGCATGGGAAAAGGTTATGGTCACATCCATTGGAGACCCAATGATTGAAATACGTGTTAGTGGTTTGGACAGGTAAGGAGACCTACAAATGCTTTTTCGAGAAGATGTCAGTTAATGGAGGACACTAATGTCAAGAGAAGGAGAGGAAGGAGAAAGAGCACTAGATGAAAACTATAAAAAAGGACCTCACTTTTACTGAGCTCATTGATGGTTTTGAATAAAGTATAGTTCAATATTTTCCATATAACTGGCCTTATGTAGCAGGAAATGGCTTAGCTGTTGTTGTAGAAAAATAAAATAAGATTTCAGCCCTTAAATAGTGCCCAATTGCAGCTGATATAATTAGCAAATACTTTTATTGTCATAAAGTAGATAGCTGAGAACTACAAGTCCATTGACTTGAACTTGAGTGATTTTGCAAATCTAGCATCCCGAAAAACAATCCCATTTGACCTATATATGAGCACCACTTTTCTAACTACCACTTTTTTAACACTGGTGATCTGTTTGGATTTCAAGGCAGATAAGAGGCATATAGACTTTTTTTTTATTTAGTTTGAACGGATGATTTATTTTTTTTTTCAAGGCTACTACAAACTAAGGGCATTCAGAGATTTCATTTTTCTCCAGTTCATGAAAGGTTCTCTTCATAATGTGCTGGCAACATTATTTTTTAATTTTTTTTGAGACGCTGGCTACATTATGTTAAGATAGAAGGAAATGTCAAATAAACATCAGTGTTAGCTTGTTGGCATTAATGCTTAAAGGTGATTGTTATGAATTATTCCGAAAATTATTTAAAAGTCATTATGATAGTTCTCTGTTTATGTTTTCTCTTTTCTGAGGTTTCATTTTTCTCTGTCCTATTTGTGAAAAAAATGTCTTCTTCACAATATGGAAGCAACATATGTTAAGATGAGCAGGAAACATTAACTAAACGCCAAATATTTGCATACTAGCATTATGGTCAAGGATGATTCTTATAAATTATTTAAAAGATTTGAGAAAAGGATTAATTATGTTCTTTCTATGCTGATTTTTTTTTTGTCAAGTCTCTGATTTCCTATCTTGTTTTTGGATATAATATAGCCAGAAATAACTGATACAAACATTTCTGCGAGGACTAATGGTCTTATCTTTTGTACTACAGGTTCTTTATGGGTTAGAGTATGCACATGCAATATCACAGATCAAAGGAGCATTGGTAGAAGCTATGCCTAAGGCCAAAGTGGAACTCAATTTTTCTGATGTTATGTGTTCCATTATTAATCCATTAGAAGATCATAGGAAGTCTGAGGGACTTCTGGGATGTTTGGGCAGCTGTACTTCTAATAACAGTTTAGGTGCAGCAACTGGTACTAGGTATAGCCTAGGAGGCTTGATATGGGATCTACCAGAGGGACAGAGAATGGAAGATTACCTGCTTTTATGGATCGGGCCAGATAATTCAGCTTTTGCCAATATTGTGCTGACATTTAATGGCTGTGAAATAGGTAGACGTATTACCATGTTTGTCTGAATATTCCCATCTTTGAATAGAATAATCACTAATGCATTCATTCCTGAAGATATATGAGTACACACACACCATAGAGCAAGGACATTTTACTTTTTGTTTATATATATGGACTTGTGCTAATTTTGATAGACAGCTTTCTGCAAGTTGGGACTTATGTAATTCACAGTTGCTATTGTTCCTCTGCATCTAGACAGTTAAATGGTTGACTGCCTACTTTGCATGTGGTCTTACGTTGATTTCCTTCCATCTGATAACCATGCAGTGATACGTCATATCATTCAGTTATATTATTCCTTCTATCTGATCACTCCACACTCTTTTGCTTTTTCTTGTATTTCTTTCTTTTCTTTTTGTATGTTTTTGTTCGAGAGCTAGTATGTCATAGATGATGATACCAGTAGATATACATGCTTCTATGCTCTTGGTAGACTTTCTCAGGCCTTTTGATTAAGGAAACAGTGTTTCATCTGGTGAAAATTACTTTTGCTTGTGATGCTTTTAGCAAATTAGCTTTTTCTAGTGATTTATGTACAGTGTTAGAAGAATATGCTATTTTTTCTTCTTGCAAAGCTATTTGTTTAATGTTTGGTGTTTGTCTATAGTCAGATATGATGCAACAGAGGATCACTTAGTGACAGATGTTTCCCAACAGAAAAGGATCCTGAAGCGTAGGTATGCCTTTCAACTTTTCATGCTTCCTAAGCCTTACTACTTTTGTTACCTCTCCCCAAAGTTTTGCTATTTCTTTTCCAAGTCAACAACATCCAAAATTGCATTCCGTCTTGACCTGTCACTTGTTACATGAAACATTCTCTTTATTTTGCTTATGCCCTATCAATATGATATGGTGTTACTTGTTTTGCATTATGTGACTGGTGTTTCTTGTAGATATTATCTAGTGGAGAGAGCAAAAGATGCTAATATGGTTGGGATTTTGGTTGGAACTCTTGGTGTAGGTAAGTTATTGTGTTGGTTCCTCCTAAACTTAAAGCTCCAAAGAGGACACTCTTCCTTTCCTTGTAAATTGTTATTTTTTAAATTGAATTATGGATGCCTAGTGTCTTTGTTGGGTTCAGATGGTAACCTTTTCTAAACCAATTTGACCGTGTTTATGTGCTTTATATATGTTGCTCGTGTCTGTGAATAGGTTAAGAGTGTTTTTCACATATCCATACACACATAAGTCACCCAACATGAGTAATATGTATGTGTGGAATTGTAATTCTTACTTTTCTTTACACGTAAATTTGTTTATTACTGCCCCAAATCTATAGTTACGCGATTTTATTTTGCATTTTCTTTGGAGATCTCTGTAAGAACTTTTATTTTATCAAGGCCCAGCAAAGATGCGGTTAATTTTTTACATGCATTGTAGTAATGCTAGAAGATGCATTGATAACGTGGGAACTTTTGTGCAGCTGGGTACCTTCACATGATTCATCAGATGAAGGAACTGATCATGCTTGCTGGGAAAAAGGCCTACACTCTTGTCATGGGAAGACCAAACCCTGCTAAACTTGCTAACTTTCCTGAAGTAACCTCGTAGACAAGCTCATAGATTGCCTTTTTGTTAAGAAGTCAAAGACTTTATGTTTAATGACAACAATATTCCATTTTTGCAGTGTGATGTTTTCATCTATGTCTCCTGTGCCCAAACTGCACTTTTGGATAGCAAGGAGTTCCTAGCACCAGTTATTACTCCATTTGAAGCCATGCTAGCTTTCAGCAGGTGCGTAACCATAAACTTTTGTCTTTTTATTGTTTTATTTATCTAGTATTAAATGCTATCTTGACTGTTCTCTCTCCCTCTCTCTGGTCGTCCCCCCTTAATCTTTTCTGCATTCTATCTTTATGTTTATTTATCAATATATCTCATTTTTATATTATTCAGTTCAACTAAACTATGCTTTATGGTGTAACTGGGAATGGCCATATGAATCCTTCTCCTGCAACTGCCAGTCTAATGCAAATATCTCTCTTTTTATGAACATATTAAAATTGGACTCTGTATGCTTTGTGAAACCAAGCAGACTGGTTGATTGCATTATTTTATTCTGTCCTAGAGTTTCTATGTCTCTAAACTTGAATAGAGATGTAATATGAAAGATAATAAGAAGGGATGAATAAAGATGTTTGATATAACAAAAGTTTTTGCTATTGTTGGAGCATGCCTGCTGAGTATCTACTTTACCTGGATTGTTCTAACTTGTTAATATGTTCTTTGTGTGTTGTATATTTGTCAATTTCATGCATTTTATCACGTTAAGATGATACATGTAGTTGTCTCTCTCTACTAAACTTGCTTCTTTCAACTGAAAAAAGGGGAAAAATCAAGAAATACTCTGGAAAGGTTGTCTATGGGTTAGATGCTTCTTGATTTTATTTCCCATATAATGCATATTTGAGGTCTTCTGAACATTAACTCCAGTTTTCTTGTGGCTTAATAGATGGAAAAATTATAGATGACTGCTTCCTCAGATTTTTTTAGTTTCGATTTCACATCCCATGCTATGGACTTCCAATGATTGGTTTTCTTATATGTACTCTACTAATACAAACTGATATGTGAAAAGTAAAATTGTGGAGAGATTGTGCCATCAAAGAGGTCAATCATATGGCATGAAAACTATGTAGGAGAAACAATCTGGTCACTTAGACAAGTGCTTGTAGTTAAAGTCTCTGGAATTTTTATGCTTCCATCTTGGATATCTAAGTTTGAAATTGTCATTCTTTAGAGGAAGCCAATGGACGGGAACATATGTAATGGAATTTCGAGATTTAATTAATTCTTCTACATTGGAGGTAAGGAACCAACCGGAAGAAGCACGGTTTTCCTTCCTTAAAGGTGGATATGTTGAAGATTTTGAACTCCAAGGTACATGTCCCTCACTTTTGATTCCATTATTGGTGGAATTTAAGTTGCTACTCTTTTAGTTTCAATAAAGAGTTGCTACTCTATTTGTGCTTTCTAAGGAAAAATGTCATAAAAATAAATTGATGTTTTCACTTCCATATGATCATAATCACCATTATAATTAGTAAATAGTAACTTCTATGTGCTGCAGTGTAGTGCATTCTAGTTGGCAGTACTACAGTGTTTGCTGCACTATTAGATATTGGCAGCTTCAGACTGAGAGTGCCAATGGAAATTTATGTTTAGCTCATCTATTCAATATGTATGAATGTTAGTTTTAAGGCATGCACTATATCTTCGTTGTCTAAAACTATTTTCTGCCAAATTTGTAATAGTTTGCCTGATTTTTTTTCTCTTCACAGTGAAAGTTATACTGAAACTATTATTTGCATAATGCTTCGCTTGTTTGTTTCCTTTTTGCTTATAAAATAATGGGTAAACCACTATTACTTGTAGAACTCTGTTATTGTTTTTATGGTAATTGTTTTAATGCGGTAGTCATGCTTGGATGAGTCATCGAGCAATGCCTTTGTACGTGGTTTCTTTTGTGTTTTTCCCTGTGATTTTTTTTCCTTTAAAAAGGGAGGTTTGCACTTTGGGAGAATGTACTTACAAAATGCAGAAAAGATCTTCAAACTTATTGTTTTTTGCCCAACTTGGTTTGTTACCGCAATTTTTATTTGATAACAGCATTAGGGCCACAAAGGGATACTTAACTTTGATTGTAATGTTAATACAGAGAATGGAGATGGAGATAACGAAATCAGTCTTGCTTTAGGTAATGCGACAGAGAAGGCTCTGCAATTGCGTGACAGAAACCCTGATTCTCTTGTCAAAGGAATAGCTAAATCTGGAGCTGAATTTTTCGTCACTCGATCTTATCATGGTCTTGAAATGCATGCCAACAGTGCCTTGCCTGAGCCATATTTAATTGGAAGAAGTGGAAAGGCATCTGGCTACAAGGATGAGCAAAGTGAGCATGAAGCTTAGTGATTAAGTTGTAAAATTAAGAAAAAATACAGGATTGAAGACCCAAATTGGCATTCAACGCACTGATATCTTTGGACCAACTTTTGCCAGGTGGATTTCATGAAGCCATTAAACTTGTCTTGGTGGGTTGACGTATAATGAGTGGCATTGGATCAGAATTCGAAACTCATCCCTGGAGTATTTGCACTGATGTCCAGCACCTTTGGTCTGAAATAGAATCATTTTCCTGCTGGATATGTACTATAGCTCTTCGCCTGGTTAGTTGATCCATGTCTAGTTTCATAAATCTATGTGTGCATGTACATGTCAAGTTTATATTATATTATAGTAATGCAAGGGCTGGTTGATGTCCTGCAACACTCCATTATTCTTAATAGTTACATAAAATATGTCGATCAAAATGTTCGATATCTATCTATGTCCGCGTTGCTGTAACTTTGAAGTCCTATAGATCTGGTGACAGGAAGCTAATTAAGTGCAAGCGTTGCCGGTGTTAAAATTTTGGCAACATGGTATATTGTATTTTTTCTTTTTTACCACCCAAAGGATCTAAAAATTTGAGTGGTCTCAAAAAGGTTGAGTAGTTTCAAATTATTTTTGATTTAGAAAATTAAAATAATTTCGGAACTCTACAAGAGATTATTTGTAAACTTAGCAATTCATGCATTTATATTATATAAAACATTGATAATTCATGTATTTATATTATATTCAATATAAAAATAACGTATCATAAGTGATATCGATATAAAAATATAAAATATATATTTTTTGTTTTGTTATTATTAAAATTTTAATTCGTTATTTTTGTAGTTTTTATTTGTATTATTTTTGTATTTTGTTATATTATCGTGTTTTAAATTATTAAATTTAATCGTTTCTAACATTGTCACATATTTATTTCATTATAAATAAAAAATTTTTGATAAATTTATAAACAATTATCTAGTTTATATATGTATTAAGATAATGTAATATAATATATAAATGATTGGGGTCTACAATAATTAATAAAATCCCTTAAAATTTTTTAATTTTATTATTAGGATATTAATTAATTAATTAATTAATACAATAATATGAAAATAATCTTCTTAAAAATAATCACAATGTCTTTTAATTATATAATAATTAAATGATATGTGTCCAAATTGATTGTAATGTTTTTCTTTTTATAATCAACTAAAATTATTATAATATATTTTCTATCAAAATTATTAAAATACTCATTTTATCATAATTAATTAAATTTATTGTAATGCTCCTTCTATCATAATTATAGAAACATCCTTTGATCATGATTAGTTAAAATTATTATAATATTTTTTTTACCATAATTACAAATATATCTCTCCTATCATATTAAAATTATTAGTTTTTTTTTCTTTTAAATTAACTTGAATGGATAATGATATTAGTGGGTTTTAATTCTATGTGTAAATGAATTTAAATTTGATAATTGATCAATATTTAATAAGTAAATATTAAAATATTACAATATTGAATTTGATAATTGATAATGAATAAATATTATATCAATAAATTGGATTATTATATATTATTGGATTTGATTTAATTTATATAATTTTTTAAAAATAATTTTTTCATTTAAAATAGAAGTCAACACTTATCTAATCGCAACTACGTGGTATAGTCAAAACATCAAAAATTTTTAAATTTTTTAAAAGGTTATATTTTTAAAAATAAACAATAAAAAATAATAAAATACTAAAAACTTTAATTTTTTAATTTATTATTGAATTAAAAATTTAAAAAAATTATATTTTATCAAAATAAATAAAATTTTCAATTCGAACATAATCAAGTAATTTTTCTAGTGATCATATACAACAAAACATTTAATTTTGATGAAATTTAAATTCTATGAAATATATAATAATCTTACATTTAAATTAGTTTTTTAATATTTGAAACCTAATTAAATTTCTATCTCAAATTTTATAAATAGAAAACAGGACTGTTAGCATTTAAAGTAATCTTAATTTAATATAAATTAATCTGAATTTATATAATTTATATGCTTGGTTTTTCGTAAGACCATTCTTTTTACGAAGTTTTAAATCGGTAAAAATAATAAATAGTAACAAAATTAAATACCAAGCTGACCGAGGGGATAGACATATAAAATCCCGCCACCCCCTTTTTTTTTCATTAAACCCTAAACCCCTATAAAGTAGAGGAAGCAATGAAAGAAGCTCTATTTAGAATTTAGGAACATGTCTTTTTTTGCTTGCAGATTTCTTCTCTCTTTCGCTAAATCTAATACTTTCAACTCACTTCCCAAGCAGCACTCACTCTTCTTACTCGCCGCTTTGACTCGCTCCCAACTCAGGTTCTACTCCTCCGAATTCCATTCCACCAAAGACGACGACGACGTTGGTAAAAATGGTAACCCAATTTTTAAACTTACTTTATGTTTCGTTGTCGATGAAATTTTAGAATAGAAAATGAAAGAATATTGTAATCTTACTATTGTGCCTATCTTTTAAAGATAAATTTTTTTTTACTGTTTTCATCTGTTTTAGCATTCCCTCGAATTGAAAGATACGTAAAGAGGAGTTTTTTTTTTTTTTTTTTTCACAATAGTAATATTTGAAAATGAGATGGTTTTTGCCAGAGCTACGAATGCGAATACAGAAGTTCTTTGATGGTGATGAAGACGCTATACCTTCAATTTTTGAAGGGATTCTAAAGAGGAAGTTGTCAGGGAAGCATGAAGAGAGTGATGATGAATTGATGAAAGAGATTCGCCGCGAACGGCACCAACCTCTGGATGATGTTGTGGAACAAGAATTCGACTCCGATTTGACTGACTCTTCTGATACTGATGGAGATTGATGCTTTAAAGAGCATAATTGCCGGTCAGTAAGTTGCATAACTCATAGCACTTTAGTACTATTTAGAGATGCCTTCTTTTTTTTTTTTTTGCTGTCAAATTGGATGATTCAACAAAACACCAGTACCATATGAAGATGGAGCTTGATATATTTATTTAAATGATCAAGGGAATATAGCACTTTTACTGTCTTCTAGAATTCTGGTGTTTATTTGATTATTTATAGCTTTGATGTCTGGTGAAAGAAACTCTTTCTGTTGTGAATCTAATAGGCAGATTCTTTGATGCTACAAAGCAGTGAGAGGGGACTTGTCTAACTCAACCAGAATACTTCAGTTAGACTTATCGGTCACTTATCATCTCACTAATGTATCCATTTTTCATAACTATTTGACATATATTTAGAAGTTGGGATGGTTTTAGAAAGGAATGACTTTCTTTTAGTCATTAATTAATTATCTGGACAGAGTAACTTGTTGGCACATTCATTGCTAGATAGATGATGCCATGCATCTCACTGCCAGGAAAGTTAATAAATCTCCTCAAAATATCTATTTGCTTCCACTGGATGATGCATTCAATGCCTATCTCTATTCATTTTCCAAGCTTCATTGATTCAAAATGTCACAAAAAAAGATTTAATGAGGATTTTAAAATATCTTAAACAAATTGGATGTAATAGAACTTGTTATCCTAATCATTCATCTTTATGAGCAAAGCAAACATGTTCACTAACTACAATCAATTAACTAATCTAGTCAAGCATCAATACAAATTCTTAGTCAATTCTAAAACTTCAAATTAACTATAAATTTGATTTGAAAATCATATCTCTTTCACATCTACTAAATTCAACATATAATTAAAAAAAATCACCTATACAATATATTAAAATTATTCCAACTCAATATAATTTTGCTATTTGGGGATTTTAATGCATAATTTTGTGCCAACTAAAATTTGGCATAAACTATTATTTGGAGGGTAATTGAGGCCATTTTTTTTTTTTTGTTTAGGGATGGTTTAGAGTTTCAATCGACTTTAATTGATGTATTTAGGACCTTAACTATGGCTCATTTACGTGAGCATATCAACTACAATATTGTAGTACAATTAGTCAATCATAATTTAGAATTGTATGGGAACTATCAAAATTTTATATGAAATTCATACTTATAAGTTGTTAAACCCTATATAATTCTTTATTATGATCGGATAAATGTAGTATTGTAGGAAAAAGAATTGTGAGTAAAATGCTCCCCTCATTTAGGACTACGACTACTTTTAATGGGTTTAATTTAGTTGTTAAGCCATCAATTAAGGGATTTGGGTGAGGATGTTTAATGGGGTTAATTTAGATCTTTAAGCCATTAATTAAGCCAATAAGTGAAGATGTTTCATGTAGCAAATTGTTATGTTTGCTTTTCAACCACTTATTTGTCTGTTGCTTTTAACATTATTTGATTGATAACCAATGATATATCTTATTTTTTTTATTGTACATGCCTATATTTTGTTATATGTATTCTTATTTATATTTTGTTTGTATATTATATAGATTTATTTATTGATTGATATATTTTGATTGAATCAAACGCACACAAAACCTTCATTTTCCACAATGAAATGCGGGCTTTCACTAGTAATATATTGACAATAGCTGTGGAAAAAGCAGAGTATATCATTGAGATTAAAAGTGATTTTTACATTAAAAACTGTTTTTGACTCAATTTCAATGTTAATTAACAAAAACAAAGTTGTGATTTTCCATTTAAAAGTGTAGTTTGTAAAACCAAAGTTAAGAGTTTCTAAAGATATGTTTTTTTGGTTCAACCATAATTTTTGAATAAAGTAATTTTAGTATTCTTATATCTCTAAATTTTTATTATTATTTTTTTTCACATTTCAATTCATTGCAGAAATTTCACAATAATGTCATTACATCAATAATGATGCTATCATGAATAAAGTTAGGACATGCCTTAACCCAATACATTGACTCTCTTAATGAAAATGCATATTTTGTTAACAGGTAAGCGGCATCATTAGCTTTTCTCCTCACATGAACTGTTTTGCATGAGTTGAAACCCTTCATCATTAGTTGGGCATTTTCTATCAAGTTTCCAATGATAGACAAGTTTTTGGTTCCCTCATTCAGTTGTTTTATTATATTAAGGGCATTTCCTTCTAACAAGATTGCTTGAAACCCTGTCTTTTGCAAACACAAGTGCATTTATAGATGCTATGCATTCGGCCACTGAAGGTTCAAAAATCATAATTTTGATAATGGAGGTAGCACCTAATATGCTTCCCTTGTGGTCCCTAATGATCACTACACTTCGACCAACTTTTTCGCCTGTCTTAATTTTCCATCAAAGTTTGCTTTGACATAAAATGTGGGGGTTGAACTCCATCTTTCGACCTCTTTAGAACCTCTTCCATCCCTTGCTTCGTTTTTCTTCTTGAATTCTTGTAGATAACTTTTGCAAAAGTTACAGTTTCAACTGGTCCTCTATATTCATTTTTTTATATAAGCATGTTCCGGCAAAGTGCCTTCAAAACTGCCTTGATCTTTTTTTCTACATATGCCGCCAACCACCCACTGTTATCTCGAGACACTTGATTTGTCCAATATGCATCTACCATCCCAACCTTCCACACATTTTTAGAATAATCACATTCTGCAAAAACATGCAAAATTTTTTCTTCTGCCTATTTACATATCTGACATAATGGTTGTACTTCTATGTTCCTTCTCGTAAGGTTTTTATAGATTGGAAGTACGTCATGTTGTAGTCTCAACCAAGTATCTTAATTTTGTTAAGGATGGTTAAGCGCAAGAGTTTTTTCCACAACTTACTTTTCTCTCTCTCCAGCTTTACTAGTTCTTCTAAATTTTGCACGTGGGACATCAGTATATGATAAGCACTTCGAACAATATAAGATCCATGTCTATCCATCCTTTAGATTAACTCATCTGCATGCTCAAAATGACTAAGAGGAATAGACCTAATCATGCTTACCTCCTCTTCATTGAACAAGCTTTTAATCAACTCTAGGTTCCAACTCCTTATTAACTAGTTAATCAAATCAGACACTTTTGCATCCCATTATATTTGGTGTTGATTCGGACAAGAAACAATAAAGCCATTTGATGGGAGCCATTTATCAAACCAAATTCTTATAATTTGGATTTAAATTGCAGTCGAGAATGTGTTTTCGATCGTGTTACGTTTTTCTTGGTTGTAGTTATAATAGATATTATTGCGATCATGAATATTTTTCAAATTTGCACATCGTTATAAAACATAGTAATTATAATTATAATTATAAAAATTCATTTTTCATGATTTTTAAAATAATTAATGATACCTTATATTATTTTATTTATATAAAAAAATTATTTACAAGTTTTTTATATTATTGTAAAATATTCACGTTTGGAAATTAACAACTTACAAATATCAAAACAATAAAATCATTAATAAAATCCAAATCAAAATAAAAAATCAAAATTAATATATTAATCATTTAATTTTTTTCATCTAAATTATAATATAAAATCCCATTCAAATTTACATTAAACTTATTCATCTCAAATTTCTCAACCTAAATCAAAATTAATTCCAAAAACATTTCAATTATAATCAATTTTTTCTCCTCTAAAATTTTTCCCTTAAATTAAAAAAAAAAAAACCAAATGTTTGATTGGTCAAGTATTGGCCAAACTTAATGCCACTAAACTCCCCATTACACTTAATTATTTCTTTCAATTAAAAGAGCAAAAGAACCTTATGCCCTTGTATCCTCCAAAAGTCTCGTTTGACTCAAAATTCTTCATGTTTTTCTCTGAACTTTTACTTCTTACAATTCCTAAAAACCATCCACTAATCATGGCAACCAACCCGCGTCCAAGCTTCCACCTTCCTTTAACTTTCCATCCAATCCATGCCATGGTTTATTTGATTTCTTCTCTAATACAACCACCACAGCCCCACCCCAAACTTATGCCCATAGAGTGCTCATGGATGGTTTTTGATATTTTAAAGTTTGAAGCAAAATCTCTCTAAGATTTAAGATTATCTAAGTCCTACATTACAAAAATTTGCAAAAACTTAAACAAGGAAGAAAAGGCAATTTTAAGTTTTTTATTATTACTTGATTTTAATAATTTTTCCTTAATCTTTGATTGAGGCTGATTTTTTAATTGAGTTGTTGTAAATTCAGGATTCTTTTTTTTCGTGTGTTTAGGGCTTTACTTTGTTAATCTTTAATGCTTGATAATGAAAATTTTTCTTTCTTTTTATATTAAATTTTGGAAAAAAAAGGGAATAGCTTCGATTGCATCCCGTTGTTGTTGCTTTTTGCCACCATAGTATTTTTTTGTGGTCGTAATGAACCACTAAAGAAGTGAAATTTTTTCATATCCAATATTTGTTGAATAGCAACAGCAAAGGGTCCCAATTCGGCAAAATAACAATTATAATTTTGCTATTACTCAACTATTTGAATCCATGGGCCATTACCCACCCTTTATCTTATTCTAGCCTTAAGTACCACATTTGCCTTCCATATATTCCTTCATGTGTAAGATAAATTGACACCAATGTTAGCCTTAAAAAAATTTCATCGTGCTTATTGAAATTCATTCAAGTTTTCGATCATATAAAGTGAGAAGTTTGACCATATAGAAGCCTTAAAGTTTTTTTTTTTTTTTTAAATCCATTGCCAAGTTTTTGAAAACATAAAATTAAGGCAATAAGGTCAAACATGTGTAATGAATATTGTAGTTTGTGTTGTATATACCTAATTTTGTTCGAAAAAAATTCGATTATTTTTTAAACCTTTAAAATTTGACTCAAGCCAAATCCAACATTTCTTTAATTTTGACAAGTTTTTAAGATTAAAATTGGGATCGATTTGACCTAAATACCCTAAGGTCAAATTTGATCAAATAAAGTCAAACTTGATCAAATTGATAAAAAAAAGATCAAAATGGTTAGAACTCATGTCAACTTTCAAATTCACAATCAATTGGACTCAATGTGATTTTAAATTGACATTCATGATTTTAAAGTAATAAAAAGTCTGGTTACATTTCAAAAAATGTAAAATTATCAAAATACCTTTAAAGGTATTTTTGTAATTTGACATTCTCAAAGTCGAATTTTTGTAAAACCTCAATATCATAATTAAATA